TTCTGTACCAACTGATGTTGTGGATTGCATTCATTTCTGAATGCTGAACCATCCTTGCATACCTGAGATAAATCCCACTTGGTCCAAGTATATAATTATTTTTATTCATTGTTGGATCAGATTTGCTCATCTTTTGTTGAGGATTTTTCCATCTGTTGATCAGGAGAAATGTTTGTGATTTTTCTCTTCTTATAATACCTTTTTTTGGACTTGATGCTATAGTAATACTAGCTTTGCAGAATAAGATATTAAGTATTCCATCTATTTTCTGGAAGAGATCGTAGAGAACTGATATAATTTCTTCCTCAAGCCTTAGGTGGAATTGAGCCAGGTGGATTTGTACTGGATGACTATTAACTTCTCGAAAAAAAATATTTATTTGAAAGGTAGAATGATAGAGTCGGACACAGAGAGGGAGGGAATAGAAGGGGAGGGCAGGCAGTGGGAGAGATAAGAGATCTTCCATCCACTGGTTCGCTTCCCAGTTGACTACAACAGCCAAGAACTAGATCAAAAGTGGAGCAGTCAGGACTCAAACTGATGCCAGCCCTGCATTTTTTGTTTTTGTTTTCAAGATTTATTTATTTATTTGAAAGGCAAAGCCACAGAGAGGCAGAGGCAAAGGCAGGGAGAGAGATTTTCCATTTGCTGGCCCACTCCCCAGATGGCCTCAAAGGCCAATGCTGTGCCCATCTGAAGCCAGGAGCCTTCCCAAAGTCCCCCAAGCTGTTATAGGGGGCCAAGGACCTGGGTCATTCTCCACTGCCTTCTCAGGCCACAGCACAGAGCTGGAATGGAAGTGGAGCATCCGGGATATGAACTGGTACTCACATGGGATGCCAGCACTGCAGGCTGTGGTTTTACCCACTATGCCACAGCACCAGCCCCTTTGTATGTGTTTTTGTAACTAAAGCAGGTTTCTTATAGAAAAGAAATACTTGGGATGCCAGCACTGTGGCATAGTGAGTAAAGCCTTCAGTGCCAGCATCCCATATGGGGCCAGTTTGAGTCCCGACTGCTCCACTTCCGATCCAGCTCTCTGCTATGCCCTGGGAAAATAGTAGATGGCCCGAGTGTTTGGGCCCCTGCACCTGCATGGGAGACCCAGAAGCTCCTGGCTCCTGGCTTCAGATAGGCCCAGCTCCGGCCATTGTGGCCATTTGGGGAGTGAACTAACAGAGGATCTCTCCCTTCCCTCTCTGCCTCTGTAATTCCGCCTTTCAAATAAATAAATAAATTTTTAAAAAAAGGAACCAGAAATGAAAAGTTTAAAAAAATTGGGTTTTGCTTTTTGACCCACTTTTACAATCTCTGTTGTTTAACTGGTGTGTAACTATTTAGACCACTGGCATTTAAAGAGATGAGTGATGCTGTTGAGTTAATATTACATCTGTTACTGCTTTCTATTTATTACCCTTGTTCTTTTTTTCTGTATTTCTCTTCCACACTTCTCTTACCTTTTGTGATTTTTTTTTTTTTTTTTTTGACAGGCAGAGTTAGACAGTGAGAGACAGAAAGGTCCTCCCTCCTTTGGTTCACCCCCTAAAACGGCTGGCGCGCCGCACAGATCCAAAGTCAGGAGCCAGGCGCCTCCTCCTGGTCTCCCATACAGGTACAGGGCCCAAGCACTTGGCCATCCTCCACTGCCCTCCCAGGCCACAGCAGAGAGCTGGACTGGAAGAGGAGCAACCGGGACAGAATCCGGCACCCCAACTGGGACTAGAACCTGGGGTGCTGGCACCGCAGGCGTAGGATTAGCCAAGTGAGCTGCTGCACGACCACCTTTTGTGATTTCAATTGAGCATTATGTAGGATTCCATTTTGTCTCCTCTTTTAGTGTAAGTCAAACTTTACTTTTCAACTTTTAGTGGCTGCAACCCAATGTACAACTAACCCAAGTCCACCTTCAAATAACGTGATCTATAAAGCCCTATCCAGTCTATCAATGAGCCCCACAAAGCTATTCTTCATTTGTTGCAATGCTGCTTTTTTATCTCTAGCACTTTTTACTCCTAGAATTTCAATCTCTCTGCTTGTATTATAAATATTTTTAGATGTTATCTGTTTTTAATTGAAGCCTTTGGCAAATTAACCACAGCTTTAAAAATTCCTGGTCTGATAGCTCTAACATTCCTGCCATATCGAATTCTGGTTCTGATGGTCTTTCAGTCTCTTCAAATTGGATTCTTTTTTTTGTCACTTAGTATGCTTATAATTTTCTGTTGATAGGCAGAGATGATGCACTAGGTGGAAGGAACTGCAGGAAATATGCCTTTAGTGATACTGTGTTCAGATGTAGGGGCAGGAAAACATTCTCTCAGTATGACCAGATCCCAGCTTTTCCTAAGCCTGACTGCAAACATCACACAGGTTTCTTAGCCCCTTTCCCAAGGTGAGACAGGGTGGTTCCAGGGGAGGGGGTTGGGTATTTCCCTTCCCTCAGGTAGGCAGACTCTGATGAAACCCAGTAGGTTAAGCTCTGATACAAGAACGTTTTCTGAGGGCAGACCCTGCTAAGAACAGAGTGCTCGGGTTTAATTCAGGATAGTCCCTTTTGCTTCCCCGGCCAGAAGCATGAAGGGTGCTTTTCTTTGATACTCACTGTGGGGTTCTGGTTGAGTCCCTGGAGATAAAACTGACAAAAGTAGTAGACCCATATGACAGTCTCTTGAAGCTTTGAACACTCAGCATTGTCCACACTGAATATCCAGCAATTCATCAGTTCAGGTTTTCCTAGCCAGGCCCTGGTTCCCTGGAAGGTTTTTGTTCCTAAGTTGTGATTCCTCTTATCTACCTCTCTGCTTGACCCCTTTTGGAGGCATGGTTTTCCCTGTGAACTCACTTCTCAGACTATGTTAAGAGTTGTTCAACTTCATGCTTGTTGTCAGGACACAGTGGCAACTTCTAAGCTCCTTACATGCAGATAAAAAAAGACTATGTTTTGTCCCTTTTCCCTTTGAATTGTTTATAAATTATATTCAGATGATACTCAACTTACCATTGTTCAACTTATGGTTTTTTTCAACTTGACAATGATGCAGAAGTGATACACGTTCAACAGAGACCATACTTAAGGTTTGAATTTTGGTCTCTTCCCAGGCTACCACTGTGATATGACACATTCTGTCATGATGAAGGGCAGCAGCAGCAAGCCCAGCTCCCAGGTGAACAACCAATACTCCACAGTGGACTGTGTTGCAAAGCTGTGATGCTCAGGAGGTTCGATGTACTCAGTGCATTTTCAACCTACAATGGATTTATAAGGATGTAGTCCCACAAGTTGTGGTGCATCTATAACTTTTTTTTTTTTTAAAGATTTATTCATTCATCTGAAAGTCAGAGTTACACAGAGAGGAAATGCAGAGAGAGGTCTTCAGTCCGATGGCCCACTCCCCAGTTGGCCACAACAGCCGGAGCTGTGCCGATCCGAAGCCAGGAGCCTCCTCCGGGTCTCCCACGCGGGCACAGGGGCCCAAGGACCTGGGCCATCCTCCACTGCTTTCCCAGGCCATAGCAGAGAGCTGTATCAGAAGTGGAACAGCCGGGACTTGAACCGGTGCCCATATGGGATGCCGGTGCTTCAGACCAGGGCATTAACCCACTGCATCACAGCGCCGGCCCTCTATAACTGTTTAAAACTAAAATTATAACATTTTCTTGTGTAGTTTAGAGATGCATTTACATGTAGTACATTAACAACCATAACCTAAAGGATGGGAGGAATGATTACAAGATTTCTGGTGAAGTACAACATAAAGGCAAGAAAGTGGAAGACAGGAGTTTAAAACACCAAGAGAAGTTATGTGTAAAATAAAAACAAGTGTCTTTGAGCCACACCAAGTTACATTAAACCTTAATGGCAATTAAAAGGCAAGGATTGTCAGAATGCATAAAAAAGTGAGATTTAATTGCATTCTATCCACAAGAGATTCACTTTGAGTTTAAAGGCCCAGGTTTAAATTTACAAGATGAAAAAGATACACCATGCTAACAGTAAATTTAATAAGAATGGAGATGGGCTGGCATTGTGGCTTAGCAGGTAAAGCCGTCGCCTGTGATACCAGCATCCGTATGGATGCTGGTTCATGTCCTGGCTGCTCCACTTCCAATCCAGCTCCCTGCTAATGTGCCTGGGAAAGCAGTGGAAGATGGTCTAAGTGATTGGGCCTCTGCCACCCACATGAGAAACCAGGAAGAAGCTCCGGACTCCTGGCTTTGGCTTGGCTCAGCCCTAGCCGTTGTGGCCGTTTGGGGATTGAACCAGCAGATTAAATTCTCTCTCACTGTAACTCTGCCTTCCAAATAAATAAATAAAGGATGGAGAAGCTATGTTAGTATTAGAGAAAATAGACTTCAACACAAAATGTATTACCAGAGATAAAGACAGGTCCTCTTATCTCTGATAATGATACTTAGGAACGTGAATGAGCCAATAACAGCTTCAAAAGTCATAAAGCAGACACTGAAAAAGGGAGAGGATAATCTCACATACTTTTGTATTTTAACAGTCTCCCTCTGCAACTTAAACTAGATGAAAAAGCAGCAAAGACACAGGAGATCTGGAAAACACCATCAACTGCCTTGAGACAGCTGATATTTATATACCATATGATGGCAGAATACCCCTTTTTTTAAGTGGACATGGTATATTTCCCAGGAGAGGCCATATTTGGGGTCCTAAAACAAGAGCCAATAAATGTGAAAACCATGAAATCAGAGTATGTTCTCTGACCACACTGAAATTAAGTGGCAAATTAATAATAATAAGATAATTAGAAAAATACCAACTTCTAAATAGCATCAGAGATGAAAACTACAAGAAAAATTAGGTAATATTTTGAATTCAATATTAATGAATATACAATATGTTAAGAACTGGTAAGGTGCACTTAAAGCTATACCTGGAAAAATAACTTCATAAATTTAAATATCTATAAGAAGAAATATATCAACATCTACCTATAGAAACCAAAGGCTTAAAAAAAAAAAGACACTTTGAATGTACACAAAATTGGGATCTATAATTCACAAGAGCCTTTCTTCAGAAACTTCTAGAAGACAATCTCCAGCCAACCAAGACATAATGGAGACATCTTCGGGGACTTCACTGCAGAGGTAAAGTAATAATGAAGGTGGTAACATGAGCGATGAAGGGGTATACGCTCTGACAGTACAGCAACAATACACTCAACAAATACCTGGGCCAGACATGAAAAGTTGGAGCACATAGTAGAATACTGACTTCTCAGTGGCTGGGAGTCAAATATGAAACGAAGCAATAGAAGCAGATTCAATAGAATGCAGGTTCGCACTCAACACAATACTACAAGACTGAGGGGCGAAGAGGAGGTGAAGGAGAGAAAGGACATGGGAGAGAACCAATGGCTGCCATCAAAAGGAAAGGAGTATGTTACATTAAAACTGAAGGTCATGACTAGAAATACTGATTAGGAAAACTATGGCTGTGTCAGTCTGAGACCGCTCTTGGAACCGGCGAGGGTTGTGGGCTCTGCCACCCAACTGAGCCCTCCTCGGAGCCTCTGAGGGCAGGGCTGGGAGGCCCCCGGGCTGGCCTCCCACCCACTCTCACCTGTCCAGCAGCTCAAGAACTCTGGATCCTCAGCACCCACAAGGTCCAGGACCCACAGCTCCTCCCCTTGCTCCAGCTGGGAGATCAGCTCCGGCTTAGGCACAGGGAATCCTGCGAAGGCGAGGACGCTGCGTGAGCTGGTGTGGCCTGGGGAGCTGCGACTGGGCACTGCCCCCAGGGGCTTCCAGGCGCGTGCACTGGTCAGGGGCTGAGAGGCCCGCCTCCCCCGGGGACTTCACTCAGCACCCGCGGAGTGTGCAGACACCAGGCTGGAATCTGAGGTCCACAGAACCCGAGCGGACCCCCGCGAGCCTCACCCAGGGAGGCCACGTTCCCGTAGTTCTCCAGCATCACGTCTCTGTACAGCGCCCGCTGCTGGGGCCCCAGCCGCTGCCTCTCGGCCGGGGAGAAGTACACAGCCACATCCTGGAAGGTCAGCGGCATCTCCTCCGGACGCCGGGCCTCGCGTCCGCCCGCGGAGCTCGGCCGGCGGGGGCGGCCCGCTGAGCTCGGCCGGCGGGGGCGGCCCGCTGAGCTCGGCCGGCGGTGGAGCCAGGTGAGCTCGGCCCGCGGTGGGGGCGGCCAGGTGAGCTCGGCCCGCGGGGGCGGTCCGCTGAGCTCGGCCGGCGGTGGAGCCAGGTGAGCTCGGCCCGCGGCGGGGGCGGCCCGGTGAGCTCGGCCCGCGGTGGGGCCAGGTGAGCTCGGCCCGCGGAGGGGCCAGGTGAGCTCGGCCGGCGGGGGCGGCCCGGTGAGCTCGGCCGGCGGGGGCGGCCAGGTGAGCTCGGCCGGCGGGGGCGGCCCGGTGAGCTCGGCCGGCGGGGGCGGCCAGGTGAGCTCGGCCGGCGGGGGCGGCCAGGTGAGCTCGGCCCGCGGGGGCGGCCCGGTGAGCTCGGCCCGCGGTGGGGGCGGCCAGGTGAGCTCGGCCCGCGGGGGCGGCCCGGTGAGCTCGGCCGGCGGAGGGGCCAGGTGAGCTCGGCCCGCGGTGGGGGCGGCCAGGTGAGCTCGGCCCGCGGGGGCCAGCGGCGAAGCCCTCAGGAGACAGCGGCTCGGGCCCGGGGCCGGCCGAGCCACGGCCCTCGGAGGGGCCCGAAGCGGGCGCCGCGCGCCCTCCCCTCCGGGTCCTGCGGGCCTGCCCGACCCCGTGCCCCGCGGCTCGCCCCGGCCGCCCTGCGGGGAAGAGCGCGGCCCGCAGGCCCCGGCCGCCACAGCCTCACCTCAGCTTTCCGGCCGAGCGGGACCCGCCGAGGGGTGGGGCCGCGCGCAGGGGCGGGGCCGGCCGCGCGGGGCCGCGCGCGCACCACCGCGCCCGCGCAGACGGCCGGAAATGGGTCTGGAGCCCCGCCCGCGCACTTCCGGGGCCTGCCCGCCGGCTGCGGTTTAACAAGGCCTGGCTCTCGCCCCCTCTCGCCCCCTCTCGCCCCCCTCTCGCCCCCTCTCGCCCCCTCTCGCTCCCTCTCGCTCCCTCTCGCTCCCTCTCGCTCCCTCTCGCTCTCCTCTCTCCTTCTCCCTCCTTCTCCCTTCTTCGCCCCCTCCCTCCGGTCTGTCCTGTTTCCCCACCAATAAACGCTTCACCTTGTTGTACCTGAGCGAGTGCAAACAAGGGAGCCCCACATTGATAAAATCTCACGGTCCTTTATTGCCACCGATGGAGAGTGGGCTCATGTCCTAAAGAACTCTCGACCCCGAAGCCCAAAGCAACAGGGTTCATTTTATTTGACAGGCAGCGTTAGTGAGAGAAAGGTCTTCCTTTTTCCATTGGTTCACCCCCAAAATGGCCACCATGGCTGGCGCGCTGCACCGATCTGAAGCCAGGAGCCAGGTGCTTCCTCCTGGTCTCCCATGTGGGTGCAGGGCCCAAGGACTTGGGCCATCCTCCACTGCACTCCTGGGCCACAGCAGAGAGCTGGCCTGGAAGAGGGGCAACCGGGACTAGAACCTGGCGCCCATATGGGATGCCGGTGCTGCAGGTGGAGGATTAACCAAGTGAGCCATGGCACAGGCCCCAGCAACAGGGTTTATAAAGGCAAAACCCACAAAATCAGGAGGGGAATACATGGTTACCAGGGTCAAGCTGACCTAAAACCTATGCAAAACTAATATCAAATATAATTTTGATAATACCAGTTACAATCTTAACAGTTTCAAATATGATCTTGACATTAATCCAGGTATTAGTTTAAATCATATGTAGGACATAGACAAATTACATTTTTATCATTAACGCAGGTGCAGCCTAGGCTTCCAAGCTTAAGCAATCATGCTAGGGGGTTTCTGTGCTCTGCCAAGTGGGATGCAGCTTGCCAGGTGTGATGTGGTGGACTGCTCTTGTCCGAGTGTCTTAGATCATAGTTTCAGACCAGAGTCTCACGGTGGGCGGGGGTGCTTTCTCAAGATGGCGTCTCAGGTGCTCCAAAATGGAGTCTCTCCTGTCAAGGTGTTACTTCACCCTTACTCGGAGTTTGGTGTGCTTCGTGGCAGCCTTTCGCTGGACCTGTGTTGGGGTCCAGAGAGAGGATGACCACCTGGGGGTCTCTTACATTGCGGAAATTTGGAAAACACTCGGCTGCTTGTAGAGGGGGAGCCTTTTGTACAATGGAGGGACACACTGGTGCATGGTCCCCACCAGCGCGATGCTGTGCCACCATCCCGACCTCTGAGGAGCTCAGAGAGAGTGGTGCCTGGGAGACAGGAGGAAGAGTAGGAGCCAGGATGGCGTCCACCACAGGGTGGCTGCTGTGCGAGGCAGGGTTAAATCCATCAGAAAGGTCCATGAGGGCAGGGACTGAGGCTGGGTCCCTTCCTGCTGACCACAAACCCCACAGCAGGGGTCCTGGAAGTACGTGCCACACATTGGCCAAGGCGTATTCGTTTTGTTTTTCAAATCTTCTAAGATGGGTGTATGATCCCTGTGCAGGCATTCCTGGCTGATGTCCCTCCTACTTCCGGGGTGCCGACTTTTCCAGGGATTCCATCAGCCGTGAGCACAAGGATGTAGATCATTTATTTCTGACAGCTACAGAAAAGTCAGCGTGATCAGCAACCTGTGTCTTCGGACCACAGCACAACCCGAACCAGCCAGGCAGGGTGGCAGCTGAGTGCCAGCCCCTTGAGGGGCGGGGTGGAAATTTTCAGAGTTAGCATAAGCCAGGGGTGTTGGTGGTCAGTGACGGTGGAGTCCCCTAAAGCTGGACTCCCCTTGTTTCCAGAGGAGTCTCAGGACATTGTGCCAAAGTCCCGCACAGGCTGTGCCTACTCCTCAATCCACAGTTTGCGTGGGAACCCAAGGCCCTGACATCAGAGGCAACAAACCTTCTCCCTTGCCCTGGCTGCCTAACGTACCAACAGCCCATAATAGTCACTTGCCTGCCTATCGCATAGTAACTTGCTATCCCATGATTGTTGTCTTTGGTAAAAACAAATTAAGAGAGAAAAATCTGAGTTATCTTTACAGGGTCCCTGATAAAACTCTACAGAACCGGCTGAAGCTGACCTTGTAACTGGAGCTCCCACAGATGGACTGAAGCTGACCCAAGAGTTGCCTGTGGCTGTGTGTGTGTGTGTGTGTGTGTGTGTGTAACAGATCTCCAGTGAGGTTTCAGCAGCCATCCTTGAACACACAAGGTGTATAAAGTCAGGATTTGTCAAAGCTTGTACTCGGGGACTTTCCTACCCTTGTTCTCTGTACCACCGTGTTCTGTCACTTTGTTTCACCCACTTGCACCCAATGACCCTAACTCCATAAATTTCAACCCCTTTCAAAATGAGGAGATGGATTTGTGCTTTCATGTGACCTGTAGTTAATCACGAATGTTGTTTTTCTCAGGAGTTCACTGTTTTTATAACAGTGATGGTGTGTGCATGATAATGCTAGTTGTTATGAATTGAGTAGGATTTGTCTCCCCAAAACTCACGCAGATGTTTAAACTCTGATGTCTTCATGGTTGATGGATTAAAGCTGGATATTTGATCCCGGGTGGCAGCTTCGAGGCAGGGCTAGTGGGGGTCTTTGGGAGCATGCCCTCGGAGGTTGGTCTCCCAGAAGGTTTGATTTTTTGAACTCCAGGTTAGCCTCGGCATTCTCTTTGTTGCTGCTTCACCATGTGGCTGTACCTCCGCGCCTCCATCAGACAGCAGACTGTGGGGTCGCCCCATCCTGTAACCTCCACTGTGAGCTGAAATAAGCCTTTTTTCCCTGTGTCTCAGTGTGAGCTTGTACCCAGCCCCACCTGTGATGGCAAGGCCCCCCTCTGTGTATCCACTTCCCCTAAGACAAAAGACATGCATCCCCCTCTGCTCAAGGAGTCCTGGCTTTGAAAACGACTCCCCGTGGTCTCCTTATTTGCTGCCAGTAAATAAGTGACTTGTTCTGTGTGCTCCTAGGAGCGGTTTGGGTTTCTGTCCACCAAGAAGCTGCCCCACAGTTTGGGTAGGAGGTAGTGCTGGACACAGTGGGCTCTTCGTCCTTCTTGAAACTGTGTTTTTCTTGCCAGTGATGCCGCAGTCTCTGCGGTGATTAGCTTCACATGAGAATTCCCCACTTAAAACGTTTTGGCCCCATGCATTTCCTTTGTTCCAAACCTATATTAACAACTGTCTTCTCAACGTGTCTGCTGGGAACCGGCAGCCAAAGCATGCAGCAGGCGAGGAGGGACAGTGGGTGGGAGCCGGGACGGACGCTTGTTCCCATGCCTCACACCGTGCATACTGGGAACTACAGGCAGGCAGTTGCAGGCCCTCCTCTCCACTGCACCCTCTGGAGTTGTGGCAGGAAAACTGACACCAAAGGGACCCAGTTTCCCCAATTCCTGGTAACAATTTCAACCTCAAGGTGTATCATTTTACAAAGAGAAAAATTATAATCTTTCCTTAATCAACTGAGAGGCCAAGTGGGGCACAGGTAGTTCCTCACTTAGTTGATTAAAGGACACAGAAAAGCACAATAAGCAAAGGCACTGTGTGAAAACAGAGGGACGACAGGTGAAAGAACATGACTCGGGAACAGACCACAGCAACGAACCAAACACGGTGCACCCATGGATGGAACTGTGCAAGTGTCCTGGATAGCCGCTGGCAGATGCAGACGCTGTCGCGGCGTTGGCAAGCGTGTGACGGGCTCCGCAGTCCAGCAGATGCAGCCCAGACGTGGTCTGAAGACGTTGGCATTTACTGTCCTCCTAGGTGTGTTGGCTCAGTGTCCAGATGTATACCTTGGAGGGAGAAGTCCTGAGCCCGAACAATTTCATTTCCCATGTAGCTGTCAGCCAGAATGAAGCAAGTGGCTCCAGGCTGTTAGCCAGTCCTTTAGCTCAGTGACAGCTGTGTCGCGAGAAAACGCAGGCAAAGCTTAGTCATACTGGGACTCATAATTAAAATACTAATTTGCTTAGACTCACAGAAATATGCAGATAACAACGCCTGTGAGGCAGGTAGAGTCCTTGCATTTCTTTTTTTTTTTTTTTTTTTTTTTTTTGACAGGCGGAGTGCACAGTGAGAGAGAGAGACAGAGAGAAAGGTCTTCTTCTGCCGTTGGTTCACCCTCCAATGGCCACCCCGGCCGGTGCACTGTGCTGATCCGAAGCCAGGAGCCAGGTGCTTCCTCCTGGTCTCCCATGCGGGTGCAGGGCCCAAGCACTTGGGCCATCCTCCACTGCACTCCCGGGCCACAGCAGAGAGCTGGACTGGAAGAGGGGCAACCGGGACAGAATCCAGCGCCCCGACCGGGACTAGAACCCGGTGTGCCGGCGCCGCTAGGCGGAGGATTAGCCTAGTGAGCCGCGGCGCCGGCCGAGTCCTTGCATTTCTAATCTCTAAGCACAAAACACCAGCATTCAGGTAGCTGCAGATCTGTGAGTATAAAATCATTAAGAATCAAGAGAGGTGGTGGAAAAGGAGAGCCAGGGAGCCACAGAAACCCGTATGGGCAAGCCAGCCGATGTATGGGGTCAGCCGGAGAGGGTCTTGGCCGATGGTAGAGACCTCCCCCATCCTCCCCACCCCCCCAACGCAGGGCAGTGGCATGTCAGGAAAAGCCTGGAGACCCCTGTGGCTGGAGGATGGGGAAAAGAATGGCACATGTGGCCAGCACCGCAGCTCACTAGGCTAATCCTCTGCCTGCGGTGTCGGCACACCAGGTTCTAGTCCTGGTCGGGGCGCTGGATTCTGTCCTGGTCGCTCCTCTTCCTGTCCAGCTCTCTGCTGTGGCCAGGGAATGCAGTGGAGGATGGCCCAAGTGCTTGGGCCCTGCACCCGCATGGAAGACCAGGAGAAGCACCTGGCTCCTGGCTTCGGATCGGTGTGGTGCGCTGGTCACAGCGGCCATTGGGGGGTGAACCAACGGAAAAGGAAGACCTTTCTCTCTGTCTCTCTCTCACTGTCCACTCTGCCTGTCAAAAAAAAAAAAAAAAAAAAGAATGGCACATATGAGCTTGGAGGTGGGACCCTGCAAGCCACAGCACGATTTTGCGGATCATCCTGGGGCCACAGAACACCACTAATGGGTTCTTACAGGGTTTGCTTTTAAGAAGCCCTTTGACTGCTCTCTGGGACTGCTGAAGCAATTGGAGAAGTGGTAAAGGCCACATTAGCATGGCTACAAAAAAGGAAAGAGAAGGGGGTGGGCAGGGCAGCAAAAGAGAAGAAAGGCAGTGGCCAAGCTGGAAGTGACCCCGGAGGTCTGGGCCCACAGTGGGCCCCTCAGGCCCCACACCACAGAGCAAGGGCACAGGTGTTTGTAACATTCGCAGGAGAGATGCAGAACTTGCACAAGTCAATGAGATAAAGACAAACTGAAAAGTTTCCAACAGAAAAAAAAGGGGCAAAAATAGCGACTTCTCAAAACAGAAAGCCACACACAGAAATGCCTGACAGTGATGAAAGTGCGGATGGAGAACTTGTGATTCTTCACATTTGGCAGAAATGTGAACTGGAATCACTTGCAGGAGAACATTGCACATCTGCCCTGGAATCAGAATCCCACTTTGGAGAGTTTCCTTTGTGGGTTCACGAAGAGACATGCGAGAGAGGTTGTAGCATCGGCTGTAAATCCTATCAGAAACGGGAATGGCTCAGTCGTCGCACAGGCAGGGGAGCAGCCCAGGGCCAACCCGCATGTGTGAGGACCTCGCATCCTCTCGAGTGATCTGCCAGCTTGCGAAGTTCTTGGCACTGGAGTTTGAGGGTGTGCATGGGTCTGTTCATGAGGGTGTTGATGGGTCTGGTGCTGGGCCTGGTGGCCATTGTGTTGGTAGCCCCCGACAGTAGCACCACTCAAGTTGCAAACATGGTGCCATTTCTCTCACAGAGATGGCAGAGCCCTGCGCTAGATGCTGGCAGGCAAGAAATAGTTCTACAGAGTACATTTCTTCCTAACTTAAAAAAGGGGAAATTGAAATGCATGTAAATACATTTTTGTTCATCTTTACAAAAACGCAGGAAGAAAGGTCCAGGGACTGTTGAAACGGCAGCCAATAGAGGACGGGCTGAGCAGAGGGCAGGTTGGGAGGGCAGGCTTTGGCTCAGAGGGTAACTTACGATTTGTTTTCTCTTCACCCCTACGTAACATATGCATTCCAAAAAATCAAGGAAAGGGAAAAAAGCAAACCCTAACACGGAACCCAAGTAGAAATAAATGTGCCAAACCATATAT